GCTAGTATTATATATAAATATTATAATAATTAATAATTTTAACTCCTCAAGTCCTCAGATCTCAACTCTAAGTTGTAAGTCCCAACATTTGGTGTTTTAATAATTCTTATTTTTCAAAGATTAACTATAGATGGATGATTCTTCATCTTGTCATCAACAAAACACTTCAAGTGGCACTCCAAGTGAGCCAACTGAACAATCGGTCAGGCGAAAAAGGAAACGTTCAAATAGTGGACGTCCACCAAAATCGAACCGAATTGAAATCGATCTTTTCAAACCGAAACCGAAATTTATTTTAAACCGAATGGTTTAATTTTTTTAATACCGAACAACCGAAATCGAAACCCGAAGTGCCCAGCCCTACGTGTAACAGTGGTGAAAGTGGTGGAGAGCATTTTGGAAGTGCTGGGACACGTCTGGGCACTAGAGGCAGTGGTTCCCCCATTGGCAGACCCCGCCACCCAAGACTGCCAAGAGCAAGCGCGTTCAACTTAACTGCTAAGGCTCGAAAGACGTCGCGTTCAACATGTAAGCTCGAACGACTAGACCCAACCCGCACCGACGCCATGAGGCAGCCAGGCAAACAAGCAAGTCCTAGATGGTGGAATATGTGGAGCTCAATCCAAAAGGGGTCAAGGAGAGTAGTGATGAGTTGTTGGAGCGCAGCCTACTCAAGGAGTACAAGCTTGGGAGGTTGTGGCATTAAAAAAGAAGTTGCGCAATTTGCAACGCAATGTGAATGGAGAGAAGGACATGCTGGCCACTCGATAGCTATTGTCTACCTGCTTATTCACCAATGAAGTCTGAAATTATCGGGCACCAAAGGACTTCAAGTTCCCGACCATGCCAACATATAACAGAACGTATGATTCGAGCGATCATCTAGTCGTTTTAAGGAAAATAAGCTTGTGGTAGGTGCGGAGGACCCCGTGTATCTCAGGAGGGTCCAAAACCCTAAATGAGTATCTCAGGAATTGCATATTGTCGAGGACCTAGACGATAAATTTGCCCTAACCCTATTCATTTAGTCACTCAAGGCGGGGGATCAGTACGCCAGTCTATGGGCAAATATCTCGGAGACCTATGTCCATGCCATCTAACGAGCCAATTGGTATGTGGAAACAGAGGAAGTCCTTAGGTACGTAAAAAAGGAAATTAGAAAGCAAGCAACCACGGGTGGAGGTTGGGCTGCATCCGAGGGACCGCCTAGTGAGAAGAGAAAGTGGACCGAGCGCTGCTAGTGGACCACATGGATTTCAATTTGGTGGTGTATCGACGTCCGGGTTCCAAACAATACATGAAGTGCGATCAGCTGACCCGCCAGCAAAGTCATTTAGCATATCACAACCTTGATAAGGCTTAAAAGGAACCCACTCACCTTCACTGACGAGGATATACCGAGGGGTATAGTGTCACATCATGACGCCATGATGATAGCCATAGATGTGAAGGGGACGATTGTCCGACGTGTGTTCGTGGACATGGGAGTAGCGTGATTGTTATGTACGTGGAAACCTTCACCTAAGGGTGACAATTCTACCTGCACCTGATGAGTTCCCCACATTCCCAATCCAACAAGTATTAAAATACACGTACAATTTAGGTAATGTGTGCGGATGGGAAAAATTAAATTTTTTATACTTGCGTGGGTATGTGGGCGGGTGTGGGGGAGGTATAATTGCCAATATAAATATGTTATTATACATTAATTATAATTAAGAAAAAATTATAAGAGCTACTCAAACCAAATATAAACATATTCAAATTGGATTCAACAATATAACGATCAAATCGAATTGAAGCGAAACCCAAGTATATAGATTTTCTTACACCCATAAGTGCAACCTAAGCAAAAGAGAGGAATATATGAACATAAGCGATTGATTGAGTTGACATAGAACTTTTTTTTTTTTTTTTTTTTTGGTAGGCTTTATTATTCTACTATACAAATTAAATGATAATGTAATAACATTTTTGAATCTCTAAATTAAGTTAAGGTGTCAATGTTCATTTAAAGTATATTACTTTAAAAGATGAATTATTATCAATTAATTAATTATAATTTAGGTTGCATTTGTAAAACAAAATATAATATGCATTAGAGGTGCGACGACCTTTAATAGTTCACCCAAATTAAATAATTACATGTGGTGAGGCCACGTCAAAGTCCCAACTCTCAACCCTCACCCAAAAATTATGACGTCCATCATACAACACTAATCGTCACATATTAAACCTCATCATGCAATCATGATTAGTTCGTTACTTCGTTATATGTTTTCCTTGCATGAATGATTTTTAATTCTCTTAGGTTTTGCGTATGTTTTTATCTTTGATTTATGATATAAAATAAAAAATAAAAAAATCTACCATTGTGTAAAATTAGCTTTGTGATCTTAACCGGTATTAGACATTGATCCTCTCATCTATGTCCTAATGACCCACTTAATTAGTTACCATGATTTACTCTTTCACTATCTTGTCGTGAATATTAATACCTATTGAAGAACAAAGAGTCAAAATGTCTCACTAGAATTCAGACGTGTGACCTCCGATTTGAGAAAGCTAAGCCACAGAGGTATCATTTAGCTACAAGCTACTTGGTTAACAATGAGATTACTTAAAAGAAGTATAAATTATTATATTGGAGCAGTTCATCGCTCATTTCGAACCATTACTCCTCCATTGATTTAAAAAATAAAATAATAATAATAATAAAAAAGTCTAGTGGTTGATTGGAATTGTCTCGATTCTGGAAGAGTCACACTTGTGTGAAATTGTTTTGCGGATCTTAGTCCATGAGACGAGTTGAATTTAGGATAGTTGTTTATTACTTAGTATAGAAATCCTAATACTTAATTCAAAAAATTTAATACCAATTTGAAATAAATAAACTAGTAATTATAATAGATATTCTAATATTTATATGTGAAATTGTGAAACTATTTATGATAAAATAATTGTTAAACAATAAATATTGTAAATATTTATAACTGAAATTATGATACTTATAAAGTGTAATTATGATGCAAATATTGTAAGTATTATATGTGAAATGTTTCTTATGAAAGAAATTATTACAATACTTGATGTAAAAAATTTAATATCAATTTGAATTAAAATAAATCGTTATTTATGATAAATATTGTAATACTTATATATAAAATTATGATACTATTTAAGGTAATGTTAACTATTACTACTGATATATATTATAATATTTATAATTGAAATTATAATACTTACACATGTTATAACTTGACTCGTCTCAAGGACAAGAATACATAATAGTATTAAAAATAAATTAATTAATTAAATTGCATTTAAAAAATCGATTCTAAAATAGTCATTTGTTTGTTGAAAAGTCAAGTGACCCATAATAGTAATTCATATCTAAAGAAGAAGAATGACATAAAACAGTAGCTAGCTAGCATGCAGAATAAAGTCTTGCGCTAAAACTACTTCTTAACAGAAGGGATGGAACAGACTATAGGGGTGAACTTATCTACTTGTTAATTAGTCGATTTCACGATGAGTTCATAATTAATTCACATTGCACAAAAGGAGTGACAAAATGAATGGAACATAGTGTTTGTACCAACAATTTTATAAGTCACAAATTTAATTATTGTCAATATCTTATTGATCAAATTTATCACACAAAAAATCTAATTTCATCACATGAAATATCAAAATCTTTAACCTAGTCCGCTAATTTGTGTCTACAATGTTATTTTATTTTAAAGATGAAAGGAAGAATATAATTAATAAATAATGAATGTGTAATCACACACTTAATTGGTTAATCAATCTGTGTAAGGCTTGAATCCTATTAAAAAATAGAATCGAATACCCTTACAAATTAAAAATTATATACATTTTAAGATTTAAACTCATTTTCAAAGCCTGGTCTTATAGTATGAAGTGGTTCACTCAAATGAGATGTCATGGGTGTGAGCTTTAGTGGGTGCGATATTATTATTATTATTTTTTTATACTGCAATAGGTTGAAAAAGTAATTATAAACAGATATTACATGTAGAATTGAATTGAAGATGGAGTTAATATAAGCTAGCAAGGCTTAGTAAACTGTAAAGGGTATTGCGTTGTAGTTGAGGGCCACATGACGCAATTTACACCACGCTATTTATATATTTACGTTGCATCCTAACGGTATAACATTGACAGATCAAACTATATATTTCAACGTGACATTGGCTTACATATGTTGCAATTTTTTGACTTCCATATGTTCACTCTACTAAGCTTCCGTTCATGATTCATTATATATATATATATATATATATATATATATATATATATATATGTTATAAGTTGAAGCCTAATTATTATAGGTCTGCTTAGCAATTAGCTTTAGTGGATTATGTTAATGTTTAGTAATTTGATAACGTAGAGAATGTGGTTAAGTGAAAAGAACTGATTTATCCTTAACCAAATGTCAGTGGTTCGATCATTGACTTTGGGTATGGAGTAATATTAAATCTTTAGATTCCAAGCCAGTTATCTCACCGTTAGAGTTGCCTACAATTCAACGAAGGATTAGTCAGTGTATCCAGCGATAGAAACTCTGGGCTACACCCCAAAAAAAAAAAAAATGATCAGTGATTTTGTAAATAGTTGAGGACATGAATTTATTGTATAACAATAATTTATTAATTATTAATAATTACATATAAATAAAAATGTTCTTTAATAATTATTCATTATAATAATAAAAATAAAAATTTTAATTTAGAAATATTTGATTCACTATTTTTCATAAACAAACACATTAAAATCTTTCATTACCAATATAACTAGAATCATTCATCAGCCATACAACGTGGTTAAAATGAACAGAGACATGATTTTTACATGAAAATGTGAAAAAGAAAAACACAACCTTTTTAAGGTAAACCAAGTCAAATTTACAGACACAGGTCAAACAAGAGGACCAAATCCAAGTACAGTACAGACACAGGTCAAGTGGGAAATTAGAATTGAAGAAATAAAGTTATTTAGTAAAAGAAAAAGAAAAGATAAAACTCATGTACCCACAATGCAGTCGTCACAGTACAAGTAGTAAACAATCAAAAAATGATAATCAAATCTCAAGTAGCAGAAAACAAGTATTCTTAATCACACATGCATTTACAGTGATGCCAGATTTGATCAACCTTAATAAAAATCCCCCAGTCTTCATTCAACCTGCAAAATATAAATACTGGCAGCAGTTAGAGGCCACGCAAACATTATCACCTTCAAACTTAACAATCATGACTGGGCACCAAAGATAAAAGATTCACAGTGGAAATGTCAAATACAGTTAGTACATGCACATCATATATGCAGAGTAAATAAATGGATTGCATCACGATGGAAAAGCCATTGGTCCATCTCGTGCAAGAAAGAGACCTATGGCTAATCAAATTGAGATAAATCAGGAAAGTTACGAGCTCTCAACCATATTGTATTGAACTGGGATCTGAATAGGTGCTGGGGATTTGTCGATATGACAGGTCCTTATCTCTGCTACTAATCAAAAGAAAACGTTGTGTATGCAATAGGTAGATGGTCGCAGTACACATCATACTACGACGCTAAGACTTCCTGACGCCTAAGAGGCTCAGAAATTGGGAAGACTAAAAAATGGATAAACCGTTAACATCATCAATGACTAATCACAGAGTGGGAAAAAAATTAACAGTTTTGATAAGTACATGTCATGCAAAGTTGGTTAGACATGCAGCCTAATTTTCTCTCTTTTTCTCCCATGCAATATTCACTAAAGAAGATATAAAATGCTTCAACTTACAAAAATAAATACCATGGATATAACAAGCTATATATATGTGAGAAGTAAAACTACTATATCTGTAAATCTTTAATGATACTAGAACACTTTCATAGAGTTTACGATGTTATGACTCCATGAGATAGCAACACATTCAGAAGGATAGTAGATTCACAAATAAAGCAAAGGCCACAAGGGAAACATAAACTATTAATCCACTCAAATAAGGGCGTTGAATAATCAAAGCTGTTCAAGGCTTCACTTAAGCTACAATCATGAGAACAGAGAAGGGTTAAGTTTTAATGGAATGGGTATAGAGTTTCATTTTTTGTAAAGTAATAAAGATACAAATGGAAAAAATAATGAAAAGCTCATGGCACTTATTTTGAAATGCAACGTTTCAAAATAAGTTTTTTTTTTTTTAAAGTACAATGTCCTTTACCAAACAGAGCTTATAATTGATTAATAACTTCAAATAAAGTATAAGATCTAAAAGAAACTTTACCAAACAAATTTATAACATATGAACCTCTGAAAGGCACATGACGTTATAACTTGTAAGTAGGAAGACACGGTCAAGTGGGAAATTAGAATTGATGCTGTGCAAGTTGAAATAAAGTTTTTTTAGTAAAAAACAAAGATACACTCATTTACCAACCAAGCAGCAGTCATAGTACAAGTAGCTAGTAAACAAGCAAAAATGATAATCAAATATCAAGCTCACATATGCATTTACAGTGATGCCAGATTTGATCATCCTTTATTATTTAAAAAATAAATAAATAAATAAAAAAACAGTCTTCATTCAACCTGCGAACATATAAATATTGGCAGTTAGAGGCCACGCCAATAACACCGAGGTTATCACCTTCAAATTAAACTTAACAATCATGACTGGGAACCAAAGATAAAAGATTCACAGTGGAAATGTCAAATACAGTTAGTACATGGACATCATGCAGAGTAAATAAATGGATTGCATCACGAGGGAAAGCCATTGGTCCATCTCGTGCAAGATAGGGACTTATGGCTAATCAAATTGAGATAATCAGAAAAGTTATGAGCCCTCAACCGTATTGTATTGAACTGGGATCTGAATAGGTGCTGTGGATTTGTCGATATGACAGGTCCTTATCTCTGCGACTAAACAAAAGAAAACATTGAGTATGCAATAGGTGGATGGACGCAGTGCACATCATACTACGAACGCTAAGACTTCCTGACGCCTAAGAGGCTCAGAAATGGGAAAGACTAAAAAATGGATAAACCGTTAACATCATCAATGACTAATCACAAGAGTGGGCAAAAATTAACGGTTTTGACAAGTACATGTCATGCAAAGTCGGAAAGACATGCAGCCTAATTTTCTGTCTTTTTTTCTCCACAGCATTATTCATTAAACAAGATATAAAATGCTTCAACTTATAAAAATAAATAGCATGGTATAAAAAGCTATATGTGAGAAGTAAAACTACCATATCTTTAAATCTTTAATGATACCAGAACACTGTCATAAAGTTTGAACAATGGTAGAACAAGACGTCAAGAAGCTTCAATTTTTGGGGGGATGGCATTCTCTCTGACAGGTTAAGAACAAAGAGCTTTTGACACTCCTACATCATCATTAAATAACCATAAGAAATGGAAAATGAGAAGTCACCTATACATAATGATCATACTTGATTAGTGGATTTGTTATGTGGTGGGGTGGGGGTGGGGGGTGGGGGGGGAGGGGGTCGGTGAAGTATGGATACACAATTGTTTTGAAGTTGGTCGCGATTTCTTATGTATGGGGGTAATACAGGTACACAATTGTTACGAAGTTAGGCCTCCACGAAATAGCAACACATTCAGAAGGCTAGTAGATTACAAATAAAGCAAAGGTCACAAGAGAAAGATAAACTATTAATCCACTCAAATCAGGACGTTGAACAATCAAAGCTGTTCAAGGCTTCACTAAGCTACAAGCATGAGAAATCCTCATTAAGACTGTCATTAAGTAATTAAGCATGCTTGATAAGTGCAGTAAGTACAATAGGATCCAGGTCCATCCAATAGTCATTATTGGAAAATGACTGAACTCGAGTTAATTTGGTAAAAATGCATTACTTGACGTGCTCCTTGCTTCATGGCTAAAAGACTGGCAAAAAAGGAAATGCAGCTAAGTTTTCACATGTATACAACCAAAGGACCATTTTCTAGCTAAGAGTTGTAATCACACAATGATTGGCTTAAACTTCACTTGCTAGTTGCTACTAATGGAACATATTCTCCTTCCTCTAAGCATCTCACCAACAAAACTCAACCTTACTGTAAGGCCCAAACAAAATGCAATCTCAACCTCATAAGTGCCCCATAAATAATAGAGTAGACATATATATAGTCCTGCCAATCCAGCTAAAGACCAGGTAAACTAGCTGCAGGTTTGTTGAAAAGCTTACTTTTCAATCCCTCTATTTCTTTAAAATTGTAAAATAAAATCGGAAAATAAGCATTTTTTGGTAACTTCTTAAGATAAATAGACGATCCTCTTTAGAATATCAAGAACAACTTGAACTTTCTCTTTATGCTTGTGCTTGGACAATGATAATTTTTCCCCATTTACCAAAATCGACATGTGCAGCGTTGAAGAGAAGAGGTATAAAATTGTAAATTGGAGAACGAAAGGATGCCTGAGTATTAGCAGCAGGGAACTCTGAATAGAGTTATAGAGGGCAGTGTCTTGTTCCAACCAACACTTTTAAACCATAAGAATTCATGCTTCAAACTGTTCCAACCCAACCCACCAAAGTGTGGGTTAAAAATTAAACTGCCCAATGTGACCCATGTTTTAAAGCTGAAATGCCCAATTCCACTAAATATTGGGTAAGTTGGCCAGTTGCATTTAATGGGTTGAACTGTCCCCTCCCCTTATGCCCCCACCAGAAGAGCAAAAGAGAGGAACTTCTAAAAATGAAGTCATGCCACACTGATAAAACCTTTCCCGAAAACTGGAGGAGTTCAAGTCTGCTGGGAAGATTAAAAAAAAGTGTCTAATGCCATGAAGGATAATAAGTTTTAACATTCTTTAAAAATTCAGAAAGGCATTGGGTGGCACTAAGTATGTATGTAAGTCTGTATTACAATTGCATGAATCCACAAAATCAGATTTTTCCAAACATCTTTCTAAAGGTGATAAATACTTTAATATGCTTTAAAGAAAATTTTTCATATTTTCCCAATCAGTATAAATCAAGGAAAGATTTTGGACTTCAAATAGGATAGTATAAATCTAGAGGAGGCTGAATCACCGAGATTTACCCCTTCACAATCCTGTCCGGCCGGGCAGCCGGAGTGTGGGGCCCTCATGGAAGGGATTTCCCATTTTGAGGAGCAAGAAAATGAGCACTGTGGCAAAACCATTTCCCTCAGAGTAATAAATGAAGCATATCATATGTTCTAGTTCAGTTTCACTTCAATTTCTGCCTACATTAAGATTCCTAATGGAATATAAACTCTGAAAAATATTTTCAAAATCCAATTTATACCCACCAAAAGTAACTACATAAATTTCAATCCAAAGCAAAGAGATTAGGAAATGATTAATGAGATATACAACAAGATATCTTAGAAGCAATGTAGCATAATTCCTAAGCAGAACTCACTCGTAAAACCACAATTCATAGTTTGAACAAAAGAATGAAACTTTTTGATACTTCACGGAGCATAAAAACTAAAAAAGCATACCAATAAAATTCCTTCAACACTATTCCCCATAACTGCAGCTCACAACCAATCATGGTTAGAACTTTTAGAAATATAAACCCAGAGAAAGAGAAAATTTTACCTTTTTGCCAGAAGGCTTAGCTCCGATAGCCGGTATATGATCACCAACGGCGAAGTTATCCTCTCGCCCTCTGACTTTCTTCCATAAACCGGCGAGATTTTCAATCTTTTTTTTTCTTTTCTTCTTCCTCTTTTTTTTTTTCCACCAATGTGAATAGTCAGTAAAGTTGGGCCTTGCCTATAGAGTAGGTGAAGATGGGCCTGCATTACGGGCCTCTTCTTAGCCTAATAAGAAAATTCTACAAATACATTTCCATATTTTATGAACATGTATAAATTTTAATATTTTATTTTTTTGTGGTTATGTACTTTTGTATTGTAGTATTTCATAAATTAAATTTAATTTGTTTTTAAAGCCTACAACATATAATCTTCCAAATTTTTTAACGGCTTACATATTAAATAGATTTTAAGTCAAATTAGACTTATTGTAAGCTCAAACTTGGGTATATAAAAAAGGGCAACTTATATGTGCATCTGTTAAGTTCTTAAAAATAATTATCATGTTTCAAATGTATATAATCGTATAACAGAATACACGTAATCTTTTTTGAAAGGATAATACACATAATCTAACATAATACATAATACACATAAACTCTTAATATAATACACATATATGTATATATTGTATATAATATGATATATATACACCCACACACGTGCATTGTTTTTCCTTTTTTAGTTAGCTATCTAGGCGCGCTACTCTACCGCCCGACTAGCGCATAGCGCCTACTGCAACCATAAAATAAAGTAGTAAAAATTTATATAAATTTATCTATTCACAATAACTTCTTCAACAATAACGTGGATAACCAAGATTGAAAACTGACCGATGTACATTTGTCAACTCTTTGGAAGACCCCTTGGTTCATTCAATCCTTAAGATCCTAACCTTTTAACTCATGTACAATGATTCGATTTCTAGTAGCACTATTATTATTAAACTTTGTACGTACTCTTTTGTGGATTCGATCCCAATAAAACAATCAATTTAATAGAACACATTACTCTTTTTAACTCCACTATTTTAGGCAAGTATCTCAAACTTTGTACGTACTCTATTGTGAATTCAATCCCAACAAAATAATCAATTGGATAAAACAAATTACTCTTTTCAACAACACTCAAATCTATTATCTTTCAGTAATGATCAAAATTTTCAAATAAAAATCCGATAATGCCATCTTAGACAAGACATTCTCAAACTTATACATATGAATGAGACATATAATCACATTGAGTAATTATTAATCCAATAACAAGTATGACAGATTTTAACAAATTAAAGTAGCATGATAGTGATCTATCAATAACTCCCAAGTTTTTATTAGTCCCTATACAAAAAAAAAAAAAAACAAAAGAGTTAATTCCATTTTTGTCATAGATTTGTAGGTTGACAATTCACTTTTAGTCTTTAAAAAAAAAAAAAAAAAAAAAAAAAAAAACCATTCTCCACCATTTTTTGTCTTGTATCAATAAAATTGTTTAAATTCAGTAAAATATAATGTCGTCTTCAATTACAATTTTTTTTTAAAAAAAATAAAAAATAGAAGGCACAAGTGTCAAATAGGCTCATCTACTACTGCAAAGTGCTCAATTCCTACCACAAACTAAATAAAGTCTAATTAACCCCACTTACCAGCTAAATTTGTTCAATTGGTTTTTTTACAGGTTACCTATTTAATTATTAAAAAATAAAATAAAATAGAATTAAAATTAAAATTATAAAATAAAATAAAATAAAAAGGAATTTCAGCCACCGGCTGTCCGGCGAGGACAGCCGATGGCTGCCCTTTCACAGATAGTCGTGGCTATCCGGCGAGGACAGTCGGACAACCATAGCTGTCAAACGTGATGACCTGGAACGAGGTCCAAACGGCGATGGTTGGGCTTCAAGTAATAGAATGTGTTAAAAATAATCGAATTTTGTTTTAGACAGCCATGGTTGTCTGGGGACGGCCATGACCGTCCATCGCCGTTTGAAACGAGGGTGGCGGCGGCCACGTTCCAGGCCATTTGAGGTCCAGATCTGGACCTCACGTTTGACAATCGTGGCTATCCAGCTGTCATCGCCGGACATCCACGGCCGTTTGTGAAAGGGCAGCTACCGGTTGTCCTCGCCGGACAGCCGATGGCTGAAATTCTCTTCTCTTTTTTTTAATAATTTTAATTTTATTTATTTTTTTAATAATTGAATAGGTAACCTGTTAGCAACGTAAAAAAATATCAATTGAACAAATTTAGCTGGTAAGTGTGGTTAATTAGACTTTAATTTAGTTCGTGGTGAGAATTGAGCACTTCGCAGTAGTAGATGGCCTATTTGACACTTGTGCCAAAATAGAAATATAGCAAGTCATCTGCACACTTTGTATTAAAAAAAAAATGTCCTTATATTTAATGATATTTTATCTTGACGAATCTAAAAATTGTCATATTACAATATAATAATAGTAAAACTAAAGAATAACTAAAAATGAATTGTGAATGGGATAAAAATGGATTTAACTTTAAAATATATATATAATATAAGAATGTTACACCAAACAATAATGTCGTCAAAAGGACTAAAACTTATACTTTGTATATAAAGTTCATAAAAAATTTTCTCTTGATAAATCACACTGAATGAAGTTACTTGAAAGTTTTTTACTCGCCGCCGGTGTAGCTCTGTCGTCATTTTCAGATCGGCTCGCTAGCTCCGATCTTCAATTCTTCTGCCATTAAAAACCTTCAGAACCCCGTCGGAACCTCCGGCGACAAGTGTGCACCTGTCGTCGTATCCTCTTTGCATCCAGCAGACGCTGCCAATGAACCCGCCGTCACCGTCGCCGCCGCGGTCGCAACCGTGGACCCATATTGGCTCGCCCCATCTCTTGTCGTACACGAAAACTTGGTTATTTTCCGAGCCACAACACAGCAGCCCTCCGGTGGTCCACACGGATAAACCCACGAATCTTTTGCTGTTTACGTGGCCTTTGTACGTCCGTACAAGGCGGCGGTTGTCGGTGTCCCACGTTTTTAAACTCCCGTCTACGCCGGCGGTGACGGCCGTCCGGTGGTCGAGAAATCTGACGTAGGTGACGGCGTTGAGGTGCCCGTCGAGGACGAAGAGTGGGGCGGCCATCGTTCTGGCGTCGTACGCGTAGAGCTTTGTGTCCGCGCAGCCCGCGGCGAGGAGCGGGGCGCAGAACGGGCTGAACTCCACGCAGCAAACGGGGCTGCGGGTCGGGCTGGGCCGCACCGAGCCGAGGCATTTCCCGTCGGCGCAGCGCGGGTCCCACGTTTGCATGGTGCCGTCGTCGGAGCCGGACGCGCCCACCACCGGATCCCAATGCGAATAATCCATGCTCCAAACCCGCCGGCCGCCGTGCTCGTCGCGCTCGAACACCGGCATTCTCTTCTCCAGATCATATTCCGTCACGACCCCGTCGTAGTCACCCGCCCCGATAACCCGGCTGCCCCACCCGGGCTTCCATCTCAGGCTGCTGAGCTTCGCCGGCGTGCAGATACAAAGCCCACACGCGACGGCATGATCCAACAAAACGGCGTCGTCGTTCTCGCCGCCGTCCCAGTCCAACAACAAGGAGTTAGCGCTGTACAGTCTGATCTTCCTTGCTATCCCGCCGGTGGCCAAAAAGTTATCAGAAGGGTCGAAAGATAAAACCCCAAGGACGTCGGAAACGGCTCCGGCCGACGGGGAAGAAACCACGGTGGAGAGCCGGAAATCCCATTCGTGCCGGGCCTTCTCTTCAGCTTCCCTTTCATATTCTCCTAGGGTTTTTGTGGCTGCTTTTTCTTGTTTGTGGAGGAGAAAGCCCTGTGATGAAGAGAAGTTTGTCATTTCTCATTCAATTCTCACATTAAAAGATGGCTATTTTGCTGCATCAATCTCAACCAATGAAAGTTAAATTTGCCATAACAAACATATATTACATATACAAAGTCATAAGATAATTTACAACATATATAAGAGCTTATCTAAAAATCTAAAGACAAGTATATGTGTATATATATTATTGTCTTCATGGGCCGGGTGTATTGAATGAAACATCGTATCAGCAGGTACAATGCAATAGTGATGTGGTGGAACCGTGTTTACCATGCGCATGGTGAACACGGGATAGATTAATAATTTTTATACTGTAGATTCATAACATCTATACTGTAGATTCATAATTTCTATACTGTAGATTCATAATTTCTGTATTGTAGATTTATAATATTTGTACTGTGAAGACGAAATAATGCGATTACGAAGAGAGAAACGTCATTAACAACAAATGAAAAACAAAATAATGAATTTACAGCATAGAAATTATGGATCTACTCCTGTGTTCACTATGCACATGATGAACACGTTTCCACAGCATAATTTGTCGTTACAATGTCCATTGGTTTACATTTTTCTTTTTAATTATGTACATTTAATATATGCATAAGGTACAATTTTACAATGCACACAATATTGTAATCCACAATATTAAATTTCATATATACTGGTTCAAATGTGGACAGTGTTTTCCGTGCTGCCGGTGCAGATTTAACATTAGGTATGCAAAAATGCACCGCACAGTGTTCAGAAATGCACCACTAAATGCACAACACACCAAAAAAATGCATCACATCACACCACACCTAATGGTAAATTGACACAAAACAAGGGTTACAAGTTTTTTTTTTTTTTCATTTAATAAAATCTGATCTAGATATCTACATGACATAATTAATGTAAGAGGAGGCAATGTGAGTCAAGTTGGTCGGACAATTGACTTATAATTACAAACTTTCAAGTTCAACTTCGAGAGCTATCTATTAATCTTATTAGTTTGAGCCACTCAACTATGGATAACTTATACTAGTTTAGCATGTTATGATCATTTGTCGACTAAGATCACAAACCAGACTTCACCCAGAACCAACGGCCGATGGCGTTCTCTCTCTCTCTATATATATATATATATATATATATATATATATTATTAATAACTTAAGACGTGATATTGTGATAACAGAAGTAATACTACGTATACTTACCATTTTTATCACATCTCAATATATACAAGTGAATGAGAAGAAAGAGAAATTGGTAGGCAAAAGGCAGGCTGGTGGTTGGTTTTGTATCACATCCATTTCAGTGCATTATTAATATTGTACATTAGTTCTATTGGTGGATATACATACATGTATACAAGCTAACAATTGGCTAC